GCACAACAGTCAAGGGACAAGGACTAGAAGGGAGGAGGGGACTGGAAAGCTGGTAATAGGGAATCCAAGGTTGAGAAGGGATAGTGTTGACATGTTGTGGGGTTGTTATACATTGTCAAAAAACAGTATGTGTACTGTTTAATGCGAAACTATTTGTTCTCTAAACCTTCATCTACACTACAATTAAAAAAAAATTAAACACTTTTGCTCTGCAAAAGACCCTGTTAAGAGGATGAAAAGACAAGCTACAGTGTGGGAGAAAATATTTGCAAACTGCATACAAAGAACAATATCTAGAATACATAAAGAATTCTCAAAATTCAACAGTAAAAAATAGACAATCTAAACAGAAGATGGGCAAAAGACATGAAGAAACATTCCACCAAAGAGGACATACAGATGCAAGTAAGCACATGAAAAGATGTTTAGCATGATAAGCCATTAGCGAAATGCATATTAAAACCACAACAAGCTATCATTACACACCTATTAGAATGGCTAAAAAAAAAAAAAAAAATACAACACCAAACGCTGGCAGGGATACAGAAAAACTGGATCACTCATACATTGTTGGTGAGAATGTAATGGAATAGCCATTCTGGAAAAATAGTTCGGCAGCTTCTTAAACACCTAAATATTGCAACTACCATATGACCCAGCAGTTGCACTCTTATAAAATGTTTATAGCAGCTTTATTTGTAGCAGCCCCAAACTGGAAACAACTCAGACGTTCCTCAGTGGGTGAATGGTTAAACAAACTGTAGTATATCCATGGACTAATACTCAGCAATAAAAAGGAACAAACTATTGATACACGAAAACCCTGGATGAATATGCAGAGAATTATGCTGAGTAAAAAAGGCCAATCCCCAAAGGTTATAGAATGTAGGATTCCATTTCTATAACGTTCTTGAAATGACAAAATTATAGAAATGTAAAACAGATTAGTGGTTGCCAGAAGTTCAGATGTGGGTGGGAGTGGGTGAGAAGTGGGAGTGGCTATAAAAGAACAACAACATAAGAGATCCTTTGGTGATGGAAATGTTCTGTATCTTGACTGTATCAGCGACAATATCCTGGTTGTTACATTGTAGTATAGTTTAGCAGGATGTTACCATTGGGGGAAAGTGATTAAAAGGTACAAGGGATCTTTCTGTATTATTTCACCAATTATTGCTTACATCTGCTTGTGAGTTTATATTTGCATTTGCACGTGAGATACAAATTATCTCAAAATCCAACTCAAAATGCTGTTGTTAGGTGCTGTTGAAGTCATTTCCAACTCATAGCAGCCCTATGTACAACAGAATGAAACAATGCCCAGTCCTGTGCCATCGTCACAATATCTCAAAATAAAAGGTTTAATTTTTTAAAAATTAATACTTCTTATGGATTGAATTGGGTCCCCCCCAAAAAATGTGTGTCAACTTGGTTAGTCAGTCCATAATTGTCTACCATTTTGTCATCTGATGTGATTTTCCTATGTGTTATAAATCCTACCTCTATGATATTAATACTAATGAAGCCCTGGTGGCATAGTGGTTAACAGCTTGGCTGCTAACCAAAAAGATTGGCAGTTCGAATCCACCAGCTGCTCCTTGGAAACCCTACGGGGCAGTTCTACTCTGTCCTATAGCGTCGTTATGAGTTGGAATTGACTCAGCAACAGGTTTGGTTTGGAGCCCTGGTGGCGCAATGGGTAAGAGCTCGGCTGCTAACCAAAAGGTTGGCAGTTCAAATCCACCAGCTGCTCCCTGGAAATGCTATGGGGCAGTTCTACTCTGTCCTACAGGGCTGCTATGAGTTAGAATTGACTTGATGGCCATGGCTTTGGTTTTTTGTTGTTTTATGATGTTAATGAGGGGGGATTAGCGGTAGTTATGTTAATGAGTCAGGACTCCATCTACAAGATAAGGTTGTGTCTTAAGTCAATCTCTTTTGAGATACAAAAGAGAGAGGCGAGCAGAGAGACGAGAGACGTGGGGACCTCAAAGGACATACCACCAAGAAAGCAGTGCCGGGAGCAGAGTATGTCCTTTGGACTTGAGGTTCCTGTGCTGAGAAGTTCCTAGACCAGGGAAAGACTGATGACAAGGATCTTACCCCAGAGCCGACACAGAGAGAAAACCTTCCCCCCTGGAGCTAGCTCCCTGAATTCAGACTTCCAGCCTCCTCGACTGTGAGAGAATAAATTTGTTTGTTAAAGCCATCTGCTTATGGTATTTGTTACAGCAGCACTAGATGACAAAGACAGTACTTTAAAAAATTTGTCTTAATGAACATTCTCTGAGTTTTTTCCACTGGCCAAAACTTGGAAGAGAAGTGGGGGAGACAAGTGGAAGAATATGGAGACCAAACTTTACCATAAATCCCACAAGCAACTAAACACTCAGAATCCAGCAGTGAAACCCAGGGGGCATGACTAGTGCTTCCAGTTGGCCGTAATGGGATTTTCGGTTCCTAGTTCTAAACATAGAACTGGTGTTTACAATGGAGAATAATGTTTGTTAATATAAGGTTGACCAACAGACAATTACAGTGCTCAGATTCCAGCCACAGCCATTTTTTATGCTAGGTCACGTTTGTACACTTCTTCAACGGGCAGATGTTTGATCAGAATTTTGATAGAGCAGTGATGTTCAATATGATAATCATTAACCACATGTGCCTACTGAGCATTTGAAATATGCCTAGTCTGAATTGAGATGTACTATAAGTGTAGAATGCACATTCAATATCAAATAATCAGCATAAAAAATAAAATATCTCGGTAACATTTTTATATTGGTTTCATATTGAAGTGAAAACGTTTTAAATATTTTGGGTTAAATAAAATATATTATTAACATTAATTTCACCTATTTCTTTTGACTTTTTAAAATATGGACACTAGAAAATTTAAAATTACATTTGTGGCTACAATATGTTTCTACTGGACAGCACTGTCCTGCAGGGTGATGCGGGGCTCTGAAAGAACAACTCCAAACATGCTGCCAGCAGAATGAGTCTTGTTTTTGCTGGCTGTAGATTGGGTAATGATAACTGCATGAACAGACCCAAAATGCATTTACTTCTCAGTTTTAGAATAAAGGAAAGTGTTCTTAGCTGGGTTTCTATGGACTGAAAAGCGTTAAGTGGGTGTAAACTGAGTGCTCTAGGGGACTGCCACATTTAATTATTAAGATGAAACTTGGATCTAGAACCTTTTGCTTCAGAGCCTGGAGCAGTTTATGAGGCAGCTGGAAGGAGTCTGCCATTTCAGGGAAATGGAATGTTACTTTCACTGAATTTAAAAAAAAAAAAAAGAACACAAAAACCTGGCCCAGATTTTTGTTCATGACATGCTCATATATCTCTTTTGCTTCTGCCAAATCATTTCCTTTGTGCCAGATGCAAGAAGTTTCCCGTGAGGACAGGCCTATGTATGAAAAGCCCAGGCTTGTTCTCCATGATACACTAATTTTAAAAGGCAGGAGGGAAATTTCCCGGAAAATAACTGTCATCCAGCATGGCCTGAAACATTACTCATGACAGCTGCACTTAGGCAGAATGCTTCTACGTGTCAAGATGCCTGTCCCTCAACTTACTGTGTCCTACTGTCACCCTCCTGCAGGGTGTGGCTGGCAATCTTGAAAAGAGAAAAGGGTAGGCAGTGATAGTTGGTGCCATGAGTAACTGTTTAACCCTACTCCAGCAGCAGCATGGGCTGTATCCATGCCCCAAATGTTCGCATCTTCTTATTTCCTCACACAGTAAAAGCTGAACGTTTGCCTTTGTTGCATATTAAAGGAGTTCCCCACAAATTATTCCTATCTGCGGTGCCATAAAGCAGGCTGTATTTTTCTAGAAGAAAAATGTTGCAAATAAATCACAGATATGCTGAATAATGGAGCCCTGGTGGTGCAGTGGTTAAGAGCTCAGGTTGCTAACCAAAAGGTCACCAGTTCGAATCCACCAGCTGCTCCTCGGAAACCCTATGGGGCAGTTCTACTCTGTCCTGTAGGGTCGCTGAGTTGGACCAGACTTGACAGCAATGGTTTTTATGCTGAATGTCACAAAAAGGAAGATAAGCCTATAAGAATTTAAGATAAAAAATATACCTCAAATTTTATAAAACAGTCACAAATGTATTTTACAAGGAGCCCAATGTACTAAAATATACACATCTAGCAAATACAATTATATCCCCATAAATCTGACCTCATGTTAACATGTTAGCAATAGTAAGTATTAACTATTTGAATATAATTTTTCTTGCCTTCTTAAAATCTAGAAGAACTTTTTGGGAGAAGATTTGGACATTCTAGTTCACTTAAGATCCTCAAGGAAATCTCAGACGATACCATCTTTATCCTCTTAATAAATATCTCCTAATTTTGATTACGTTGTCTATGTAACTATATTGTTTATAGCACTTTGTAAACAACAGACTCAGAAGAATAAAATTTATAGATGAAAATTCAAAAAATCATGGAAAGTCCCACCAAATGTTGCTGTCACTTCTACTTGTGTCTCTCCAGTGACAGAGAACTCATGTCCTCCTGAAGCAGTTCACTCCATTTTTAGAACTATCGGAACGTTTCTCCTCCCACTGAGCTTTAGGCTGTTTTCCCATGCCATCTACTACCCTATCCTTATCTGTCCTAATTCCTCCTGGAAAGCCAAATGACAAATCCAGTCCTGCTTTATTCTGACATCTGTCTCCATGTCCATGGAGAGTGCTAATGTACCAGGTTCTCTAGAGAATTAGTCTGGGAAAGTTGAAGAAATTGGCCACGCTCTGTGTGCTGAGGTAATGAAGCTCTTTAGGAACTATTTCATCTTTCACAAGATAAACACCTCTCATCAGACTATATTTAAATACAGACATAACATTTTGTGGAAAAGAATCACCTCGTTCATGTACAGTAAATCTCTTTATGACCAAGTAATATTGTTTTTGTTCAAGGTTAGTGTGGTGAATTGGGCTACAATAAATTTAAAAAATTAATTGTCCTTACATGTGCAGATAGTTTCTTCTTAAAGGTCACCCGCTGTGTTGCACGTTCACACATGATCTGCAGAACACGTTCAGCCAAACCTACTGTTCTCATGCAGTGGTGGATTCTGCCAGGTCCAAGGCGGCCTTGGGCAATTTCAAATCCCCTTCCTTCACCTATGAAAGAAAGGAGGGCATGAGAAAGCCATGGCCCATTCCTGTTGTTATTTACACAAATCCTAGGAAAATGTTGAGCTGCCCTCAATAAAAATCACATTCTGGCAGGGAAGAAGTCAGTTCTAAAATAAGGCTCATTATACATATATGGGAATTTTGATTGCTATGATTTTTAAACCACCATCAATAAACATATCAACCAAATCCAAAACTATCTCTTGGGTACCTACTATGCATAAGCTACTGTATTAGTGTCACAGTAGTTACAAAGGTGGGCAAGCCACCGTTCCGGACACTCAGGAGTTTAAAATCCAGAAGTTGGGGCAAGGATGCTAGGGAGAAGGGCTATAGAGAGAGACCAAGAAAGACAAAGGAAGGAGAGATTGTCTGTTCCCCACTGTAACCTTAGGGTCTGGCAGGTATCAGGAGCTTATTGAGTTGATAGATGAGTCTGAATGGGGTAAGGAACACAAAAACCTCCCTGGCAAGAGAGGACATATAGAATATTCTTTGAAAGTCAGGTAGGATTCCAATAAGCAGGAGGGTGGAGTCCTTCCAGCCATACAATGTCAAAGTTATTTTATGCTCTCAACTTGTATAAAGGACTTGAATTCAGAAAATGAAGTTTTCTTAAAATAAATAGAGGCCTGCTTGAGAGATCATGTTTTAGGAAAAAGCGTGTTTCCCTGAATTGCATGATTTTTTATTTAGCTATGTTCTCAATTGATGTGCTATACAAAAACACATCCAAAACTTAAATAAAACCTTATTATTTTATGGAAGGAAATCTACAAAATAGAAATTTTTTTCCTTGATAAATAGAGTAAATGAGAAGTACCTAAACTAAAGTAGGCTGCATATCTTTTTCAGATTAAGGCCTAAAAATATTTTAATCCACAATTCAGGAGAATAATTCTTCCAAACTTATCTTACCTAGTATTAAATTGGTGACAGGAACTCGCACTTGATTAAAATGGACCTCAAAATGTCCTCCATGAAAATTATCTATAAATTAGAAAATAAAATTTTAAGAAGCAAAATGTGTTGACAAAAGAATTAGCCACACATAATTAATCTGATTAAGTGAAATCATTCAAAGAAGGTAAGATTTAGAAGTCCCTGGGTATCACGGACATTTCTAGGTAGACCTTAGCCCTGAGACCCTAGCACCCAGCAGCCCAGAAAACTCATCAACTGTTCAGTTTGGAAAAGATCTTAGACATCCTTTGATCTAGAGGTTTTCAAATCCATTCTCTAAAGTCCTAGTGCTATGAAAAAAGGAAGACTGGGCTCCACAGCTCCAACTACATTATTTTATTATTGTTTCTTCTTGGAAATCTTTTATATATTGTTGTTCTTGTTAGGTGCCATCGAGTTGATTCTGACTTATAGTGACCCTATAGGCTTCCAATAAAATTTTGCTTGGGGAAAAAAAAAAGTTTTAATGATTCAAAAATTGAAAGTGAGTAATGTGATTCAAGTTTCTCATTTTATCATTGCGAAAACCTGTGCCCAAAGATGAGAAGAGCTGCTCAAGGGGATGGAGCAGGATCAGCATTAGTGATGAAGCAGAGACTAGGCCTGCAGGTATGATTACTCCCAGTCTAGGCTTGTTCCACCATGTGTTCACCTCTTGAAAACGCTCTGACATTTGAATTACGGAGACTGTGATTGTTACGGTTGTATGTCAACTTGGCTGGGCCATGATTCTCAGTGGTTTGGCAGTTGTAATGTAGTTTGGCAGTCATATAATGATATGATCACCTCCATGATAAAATCTGATATAATGTGATCACCTTCATGATGGGATCTGCTGTGAGTAGCCAATCAGTTAAAAGACAGTTTCCTTAGGAGTATGGCATGCATTCAACATAGGTGGACCCTCTGGCAGGGCTCATGGGCTTTTGCTCACTCTGGATCCTGCAGCTGGCTCCTGTTTGTCTGACCTCTGGTTCTTGGGACTTGAGCTAGCAACTCACCTGTCGTCTTGCCTGGCGATCTTGGGATTCATTGGTCTTCACAGTCTGTGAGCCAGAGCTCTGCTGTCTGACCTGCTGATCTTGGGTTCATAAGCCCCTGTGGCTACCAGCCTCTCCCTGAATTAGAAGGAGCCTCCAGCCTGACCCACAGACTTGGGGTGTTCCAACCTCTAAAACTGCATGAGCCATTTCCTTGATATAAATCTTTCTCCCTATATATTTATATGCTTTACTGGTTTTGCTTCTCTAGAGAACTCAGCCTAAGATAGAGACTGAGAACACATTCATGCATTTGCCTTGCATCATACTTCCTCCTTGCCAAGTTGTGGAGATAACCTCACACCCTTTTCCCGTCACTAGACATGAATAATCAACCTTCTCCACACTGTTTCTTTTGGCCTTGGGCATAAGCGCTGGTGGATTTGTCAGACTGAAAATTCAAACACAGGCTTTGTGATGGAGGGTATTTGCAGCCAACATATAATTTAAACCCATTTTGGGGGTCTTTCAAGGGCATGGCTCTGCAATCCAACACGTCCCCATGAACAATTTGCTCTAGTGAGCTTGTTCATCCCCGTCTTGCCACCACGCTTAACCTGTGACTACATCTGTTGCATCCTACAGAAGGTGATGATGTCAAATGTTCTATAAACTTCAAGTCTTGTCCCTGCTATTGGGCATTTTCATCAGCCATATTCAACCATAAAGAAAGCCAGGGTCACCACAGAACCTGAAGTGCAATCAACTTTTTTCATAACATTTATCACCTTCTAACATGCTATATAATCTACTTATTTATACATCTGTAGTTATTGCCTAAGGAGCCCTGGTGGTGCAGTGGTTAATGCATGGCTGCTAACCGAAAGGTGAGAGGTTCAAACCTACCACTTGTTCTGCAGGAGAAACATGTGGCAGTCTGCTTCCGTAAAGATTTCAGCCTTGGAAACCCTATGAGGCAGTTCTACCCTGTCCTATGGGGTCGCTATGAGTTGGAATCAACTCAACGGCAACAGGTTTGGTTCTGGGTTAGTTATTGCCTCTCTCCTTTCACCAGCATGTAAGCTCCATGAGGGCAGGAGTCTTAGCCTATTCTATCTGCTGGTGTATTTCAAACACCTAGAACAGTGTTCAGCACTCAGTAAATACCTACTGAGTGAGTGACATGAGTAGCCTGGATACAATGGACATGTGCACAGGGTGGGTGGCAGCATATACAAGTGAAGTGTCTTTCCTTCTTAGCAGCTCCACCCAAGGACAGAAAGAAGGTTTTATATTCAAGTTTTATAGTTTTATATTCAAACATGTCAAAACTGACTACTTATTAACAGTTTTTATAGGTTGACTAATTAAGAAAGCTAAACTTGGAAACAAAAATGAATTTCCATGTGGATTTCTGAATTGCATTTATCTATGTCTATTTCATTAATCCATTCTCACAGATGACAGAGAGAAGACTGGCAGAGTTGCTATTCCTTGAATACAATCTGCCTTTCCAAAAAAATAAATAAAATGAGGTAAAGTGATACACTACCTCTTATTTTACTTGCCTTATTCTGAACTCCACCAGCATTTATATTAAGACATTTGTCAGGGCCAAAGTGATTTCTAAGAACACATCTCATACATTAAAATGCTATCGATCCCTTCAATTCCTTTCAATGCTTGCTAATGTGTGGACATGTTTATCGAGTACTTACCCATGTAGCCAAAAACTGACAAAGGCCTTATTACTTCTACTCCAGGTGTGTTGATTGGAACAAGAATCATGCTGTGTTGTTTGTGTCTAATCAAAAGAAAAACATGTTAGGAAAAGTCTACTAAGAGGAAAAATAAAACAGATGTTAGGTGGAGTTGCAATTTTCTTTTTTGGCGTTATCACATAAGCAGTGATGCCTGAAATGGGAGGCATCTAAAAGACATACACTGAGCACAGCCTGAGACAGGCTGTGATCTGGAACAATAACAGTGATTTGCAGATAAGTGAAAGTTGTTTGACAGAGGCTTCTCTTGATTGCTCAACGTTGGCAACTGGGAACTGAAATTAAACATTTAAGACCACCGCTTTTTACCTAGACATCTAGTCATTTAATTACTATAGACACTATAGAAAAATTTTATACGTCCTATAATCTGTCCCAAACAGCTTTAAGAATACAGCAATATTTTTTAATGCAGGAAATTCCACAGCAAAGAATGCACAGAAACACTCCCTAAAATGTCTTCCAAATACATTTTTCAGCAAAATAACTGTGAAATATGAATGTGACATTTAATTTCACAATAGACTCCATATCATTATGATTTGTGAGTCCAAACATTGCATTTTAACTAAATTAAGTAGATAGAGAGAAAGATTAACCCGTATTCCTACATAGACTTCTCAATCAGTATTGTTTTACTACCTGGACTCAGAAGAATTTTCAGTTCTTCCCATAACAATTGCAATTTTGCAAGTTGGACTTCCAACTCCTAAAACAGGGGAAAAATGAGAATACATCATAAAAGGAAACTTCTAGTCTGACATTTCACCCTGAAGTTTCTAAGCTTTCCAAATTGATTCCCGGCAAATAACAAATAAAGAGAAAAATTCTTGATTTGTTACAAAAAAAACATAATGCTTATATACAAAACCGAACCTCACTCAAGACAAAATGACTAGGCAAGGCCAAGAACAAACTGCCATCAATGAGAGCTGCTGCACAAAAATAACCAGAAGTCACAGAAGTCATGTAGCAGCTGCCATCCTTAAGATAAAATGAAGGCTCTCACATTCAAACCATTTCAGATATCAACCATGCTAAAAAGGTGGTGAAATTCTTGTAAAGTATTTCCTCCTGTGTAGGTCTCATATTTTCTGACACATGGACAAGAAGGCACTAAAATTCATATGCTATTTATTTCTCAACCAGTGGCTGAAAAAAACCTAATTTCCCAAGAAAGGGAGCTGGGTGAGGGTGAATTTGCTTGAGGATTCTCTGCACCTATCCTGACTCATAGTGAACCTACATGACAAAGCAGAACTGCCCCCAAAGTGTTTCCAAGGCTATAAATATTTATGGAAGCAAACTGCCACATCTTTCTCCCATGGAGTAGCTGGTGGGTTCAAACCGCCGACCTCTTGGTTAGCAGCTGAGCGCTTAACCACTGTGCCACTAGGGCAAAGTGGCAAATGGGTTTGGTTTTGGTTTTTCATACCTATCCCAGACTATGTCATTCACCCCTGTTACACATGGAGCAGCTGAAAAGGGTACCTGGAGATGTCTGCATATATGAGGCTCTGAACTCATCTTCAGTAAGCCCAGGTTCTTATTATTAAGAGTCAGAAATTTTAAAATATTCTGTTACTCTCACTTTAATTCAAACTTTTATTTTATCACAGTTTGGGGATCTGTGGCAGTCCCCCAAAGGGGCCTTCTTGCAAAAATACATTTCATTTTCACCAGTAAATCTCACCACCTGGTCCCTCAGGGAAAATATCATTTAACTGGCTTTTCAATTACAAGGCCATAAACAACTGGATCAGATTAAGTTAAGCATATTTGTTCAAGGCCTTAAGTTATCAGTCGTTTTTTTTTTAATTTCTTATAAAAAGTGGTTTCAAGAAATTTGAAACACATGAAGATTCAATGAGAAATGTTAGGAATTATATTAAATAGTTGAATAACACCATGAAATCCCAAGTGTTTAAAGAATAAGCTCCACAGAGCACATTAACGGACACTGCAAGGAGGTAAAAACCAGACTGTGGAAAATCTACAAAACCAACAATTCAGTTTCCTTACAAATTAAACTGTAATAGAAAGAAAAAGAGAGATGGAAGGGGATCTTATGGATTAAAAGACTCTTAAGAAAGGCTTATCAACCAACAGTAGTTTTTAGACCTTATTTGGATCCTAATTTGAACAATGGCACCTAACAACAACAACAATTTAAACAAATGAACTGTAAAAAAAATTGGCAATTACAAAACAATTAGAAAGTTGAATACTTACTGGATAAGTAATGACATTAAGGAATTTTAGGTGTGCTAATGGTATTGTGGTTTTATTTTTAAAAAAGCCCTTATTGAGATGCATACTGAAATATTTATCAAGGAAATGATATGGTGTCTGGGATTTATTTCAAAATAATATGAGGAGAGGAAGGGATTGGCATAGGGATGAAGCAAGACTGACCTTGAGTTGAAAACTGTTGAATCTCTAAAGCTAGTTAAAGAGAATTCCTGGGAAACATAAACGTGCAGCAGGGATATAAAGGAGAAATATGGGTAGTGTGTGAAAATGTTGGGAAACAGCTCACGTAAGAGTGAACATGAGGAGTTAGGGAGGCAGGACCCAGAGAAAAGAGATACCTTAACTCCTGAGACTGAGAGAGGATTGGGAAAAGAGTGAAGAAACAGTCCCAGCACAAAGATGATTAGGTAAGAATCAGAGGCCAAAGTAAGCAGAGGTAAAGACACCGAAGAGAAGATAGAAGAGTAAAGTTAAAGAGAAAAGATCTACTTTAAACACTAACACTTAAATTTGAAATTTTGAAACTCCTTACACTTGCATATCTGGCTCTATAGAAGAAACAAACAAAATAGAATACATAACTATAGCTCTTGTAGAGCCTTCAGTCTGAAGAGATACTAAACAAACAGAGAAGATACAATGGAAACTATTTAGAATTTCATAAAGTTCAGAATGGAAACCAAATTGGTAACACTTTTAAAACCAACTTGGAGAGATTCGAGATGGCAGAAATATATGTCCCCACTCTCTCCACCCAGAGATACCATTGAAATAAAAATGAAGGCATATCAGAAAAGGAAGCCGAGAAGGTGAGGCAGAGGATTGGGGGTGTTAGTGGTCACCAACAGATAAGAGATTTTAATAAATATCTGGGAAACAGAGGCAAGTTGATCAATAAAATGGACAAAGACACCAGAGCCTAGAAAATGATGTGAGGAAATACAAAGGTGAAGGGTCTGGCCTAAGAGTCAGAAAATATGACTGAAAAGTAGGGTTACAAATGAGGGATATGTCAAAGATTTATAAATGAGCAACTGGCATACCCACAGGCAGGTATCTGAAACTTACCCTCAAGGAGAAAGGTATACAGTGTGTTACAAAGAAACTGAATAAAGTCACTCTGATACTTGGTGGGGAGTGGGGGTGGGGAGTGGGGGTGGGGAGGGGTTATAGCCTGACAGCTGGCTTCCCAACTGCCCACTCTAAAGTAAATTCCAGCCCTGCCTCACCTAGAGTTTCCTAACATAACTCCTACTCAGGAGAAAAACATGGCTGGAAAAGAGCTCTATTTATATTAATAATAGAGAAAACCTTAATCAGCTACCTAAGAATCTCTAGCATGTGAAAAGAATCTGCAGCATTAAAGAGAATGACTCACCAGAATAAACAAACTGTAAACCTCACTCTAAGGAACAAGATAAAAGAAGAACCAGAGAGTCCCTAAAAAACAAAAACAAACTGAACTAAACCAAACAACAAAAACCAGCTAATGTAATCAGAGGCAAACACACTGCAGCCATAAAATCAGAAAAGGATGCTATGAAACAGAAATAATTCAAAAACAAGGAAAAAACACTCTTAGAAATTAACATATGATTGGTAACGCAAAAAGTTCAATAGAAGCACTAAAAATTAAGTAAAGAAAATCTTCCATAAATGGAGAAAAAAGTCAGAGACTGAAAATAAGAGAGCAAAGAGCACTGACAGCCAAAGCAAGAGGTCCAATATCAGAGTAAAAGGAGTCCAAGGAAGAGAAAAGAGAGGGAAAAAGGGGGAAGAATTTATTAAAGAAACATACAGAAGAAAATTTTCTAAAACTGGAAAAAAGAAGTCTTCAGATTAAAGGGTCCACTGACTTGCAAGTAAAATCTCTCTCTAGATATGTGCTTGTAAAATTTCAAAACATCAAAGATAAAAAGAACATCCTAAAAGTTTCCAGAGAGAAAAAATAAGCCACCTACAAAGGAATGAGGATTAGACTGGCATCAGACTTCTTAACATTAACAGAGGATGCTCGATGAAAATGGAGAGTTCAACCTAGAATTCTGTACCATCCAAAATATCAACTTCTGCGAGGGCAGAATAAATATATGTTCAAAAATGCAAGAACTCAGGGAATTGACTTATTATGCATCTTTTCTTAAAAAGTTACATATGTACTCTAGCAAAATAAGTATATAAATCAAGAAAAGGAAAGTCATAAGACCCAAAAGATAGTGGATCCCAGGAAGGCAGTATATGGAAGTCCCAGGTAACTGCACTGAAAAAAACCAAAACAAAACCTGTTGCCATTGAGTCAATTCTGACTCACGGCGACCCTATAGGACAGAGTAGAACTGCCTCATAGGGTTTCCAAGGAGTGCTGGTGGATTCGAACTGCCAGGCTTTTGGTTAGCAGCAGAGTTCTTAACCACTGTGGCACCAGGGCTCCAACTGCACTGAAGCACACCTAAATGGCAATCAATCCAGATTAGACAGGAAGACTAAAGATTCCAAGAGAGAGGTCCCAAGAAAGGGGTGCAATAGAAAGAAAGGCAGAATTTAGAGGTGTGTGTGCATAGGGAGGGAGGATATGAAGCTATAAAAGAAAATAATTTAATGAAATAAAAATGACAATTAGAAACTCCAAGAAAAAAAATATTAATGTACAAGTAAACCATGGTCCAAACAGAAAACAGACGACATTGTGGTATGAAGTCAAGTAATTATAGAGTATATGAAAAGCTATTCTAATTGGCCTATATGCTAGAATCACTATTCTTAGAATGGCCCGGGTGATACTGTGTTGGACCAGTTAAAGAAGGACACAAAATCCAACATACGACTTAGACTAGCACTGAACAATATTTACATAGTTCTGTAAGGTAAGTGTTATGTGTTTGTTTACAAAATTTAGAGTCATCCTGTGATCAACCATGATTATGGTTCTAAGACAGAAAATAAATATTAGCAATCCTGACAATGTAAAAGTAAAAATTGTAGCTGATACAAGGTAGGCTATGGATGGGATACATGAGAGGTAGAGGAGGGGTTAGGGCCCTCATATCCTTACATTATAGAGATTGAAGAGATTCTGTTAAATGAGGATTGTTACAGATTGAACTGTGTCCCCCAAAAACGTGTATCAATTTTGCTAGGCCATGATTTTCAGTATTGTGTGATTGTCTACCATTTTGTCATCTGATGTGATTTTCCTATGTGCTGTAAATCCTCTCAGTATGATGTTAATGAGATGGGATTAGTGGCAGTTATTTTAATGAGGCAGGACTCAGTCTATAAGATTAGATTGTGTTTTAAGCCAATCTCTTTTGAGAGATAAAAGAGAGAAGCAAACAGAGAGATATGGGGACCTCATACCACCAAGAAACAAGAGCCAGGAAGACAGCACGTCCTTTGGACCCAAGGTCCCTGCATTGAGAGGCTCCTAGACCAGGGGAAGACTGATGACAATGACCT